CATGAATCTCACTGAGATAAGTGGACAGTAAAGGTTTTTATTATTGATAAATGAGTTTATTATAAATTATGCTCAATTGATCGTTTTTGTTTTCTACCAACCTTTACTTTTGTGACAATGAGATAGTGTGATGTCTTTACTAAGCTAGTGTAGCTCATTTCTTACTTAACCATTTCAGATCATGAGGACTTAGTTCTCGAGCCCGTTCTGCAGGAAGACGGCGAGTAGAAGCCTAAGAATTTATTAGTTTTCCTTATAGTATTCATTCATAGTATTTCATTTAGTTAGTTTATTCTTTCATACGTTTAATTTATTTTGGTTATTGTGTAAGGGATGTTAATCATAATCTATTTTATTTCGCTTCCGCACTTAGAATAAATATATACATTTCCTTTTAATTTCCGGAGTCTTTACAGTTGGTATCAGAGCCGTGTTCCTCGGATCCGTCCCTTACACAATAATACTTAGAGGAATACCAAACTGAGAATTATTACTCAACCCTTGCTTGTGAAATGCAGGTGTAGAGAGATGAGGAGAGGGAGACCCCTACTAAACCGAGCAGCCCAGGATGATTCACTTCGGGAAGATGTTGACAGAATATTTGAGATGCTCGAAAGGATCATTGCTTCTCAGCAAGGTCGAGAGGAGAGAAGAGAATTACCCGACCCTCCCCCACTACCACAGTTTGAGCCACCGTTGCAGCGAACGGATCCAGAGCTACCTCGGTAAGAACCTGCCCCTCCACAGTACCACCCGGCACTACCACCGCAGTATAATCTGGTGCCTAAGCCACAATATTGCCCGGCACCGCCACAGTATAATCCGGTGCCCCCACTATATCAACAGGTGCCACCACAGGGCCCCCCAGTCTATCATCATCCTGGCCCAGTCCCTCTTTCACGGGACCTATCTCCTTCCCTGATTGACCCGAGCTACGTAGAGAGGTACAGGAGACTAAACCCTTCCACTTTTGCAGGGGAGTCCTCTTTTGAATATGCCTAGTACTGGTTGGCGGAGACAGAGAAGGCTTTCAAGACCTTAGGAGTGGTTCTTGAGCAGAGGGTTACTCTTGCTTCCTACATGCTGGTGGGGGAAGCAGATCGTTGGTGGGAGCTCAAGCAGACCACCCTGCCTACGCTTGTCACTTGGGAGCAGTTCCTAGCAGCCTTTCATGCTGAGTACCTCCCCGAGCAGATCCGACATTTAAAGGAGACGGAGTTTGTTCAGCTGGTCCAGGGAAACATGACAGTATCGGAATATGCTCGTAAGTTCCTAGAGCTGGGCCGATACTCCCCTGAGACATTGATGGATGAGGGCAGAAAGGCCAGGAGGTTCTAGTGGGGCCTCCACCGAGAGATCAAGCGACACTAATTGGTACTAGAGCTCAAGACATATTCAACCGTTCTGACAAAGGCGCAGATCGTGGAGAGGAGTTTCGACACCTTTTCCCAGTCAGCAGGGAGTCACAGACCCTCAGCTCCGCCCCACAGACCAGCACCTACTGCGCTTGTCCAATAAAATAAGAGACCCAGACCGGCGATCCAGGCTCCTCCTCAGGCTCCAGGGGCAGTACGTGGCAAGATCTGTCAGCACTGCGGCAGGGATCACGGGGACCGACCATGCTATCGCCTCAACAACACCTGTCGCATATGTGGTAGTGCCAAGCATTATGCGAGAGAGTGCCCGAGGAACCAGAACCAAGGAAGACGTCCTTTTTCAGGGCAGGGTTTACAACCTCACACAGTAGGATGCCGACACTGACCCGGACGTGGTACAGGGTATGTACACTATCTGTGACCATATTGCTCATGTTTTATTTGACACTGATGCATCATATTCATTTGTTTTACATGTTTTTGCATCCAAACTTAATGTATCACCTGATAAACTTGGTTCAATGTTGTTTGTGTCTATTGCTGGGGGTGAAACACTATTAGGGAAAGTTG